AGGGTAGAGAGATGTTCGGAGCGAGGATCAGAAACCCCGACTTCTTGCAAGGAGAAGATGTTCTCTAGATCCATTTCAAGGATCTCTTCGATCTGTACCAGTTGGACACCCTCGACGTCTCTCTTCTGAGCGCATGGATTTTGTGAGTATCTTTGAGTTCGATTTGTTTCGTTCAATAATTAACTCTTGGCATATATGTAAGCAATAATACTTTCCTTTCATCGTTGTAGAATGGAGATTCAAAGGGCCCGACGGCGGAGGTTCTACGATACTGGGTTCATCGACCCTCGGAAAATCAACACCGAAATGATTGACAAGTACAAGAAAGACACAGAGGACAATCTCGTACATCTCCTAACGCAGCAGCATTTCAAGACGTACATACTACTGCCGTACAACACAGAGTGAGTTTTTATTGTCGTTCGAACAAATTTCGTTCCCATACATATAGCATGTACATTTTCGATCATATATATCTCATCTCACGCATATTCCAGATTCCACTGGGTCCTGTTATTCTTCAACTTGGACGCATGCAGAGTCACTGTGTACGACTCAATGAATAAAGAGGAGAAGATTTTTGACAAGGTCTTCAAACTGATAGACAGGTAATATAATGTCATCTATTCCAAAGTCACGGGGAATCTATTGCTATTATGTTGATCTCAGGTAATAATTAATTAATCATAGCTTGCAACTGCATATGTAGGGCTTGGGATAGGTTCCGTCAATTGGTCCGCAGGACTTGGAAAGAAAAACTTGGATGGAGGTTTCATTTTCCAGTGAGTACATGCATGATCCAAAATTATATTGAATTGAATCTCTAATTGCAGTTAATATAAATAGTATATTAAATCTCTCATTGTTTCTCATGTAGTGTGCAAAGCAGGACCAGGGAACTAACTTATGCGACTACTACGTATGCGAGTATGCCCACTGCCTATCAAACCAAATATGCACAACACGAGAGCTCGATGTACGTATACATAAACCATTCAAAATTTCATTGCTCGATTTGTTAAGTTGTTTATTAATTTCATATATTGATACGTCATTATTTTTCGAACGATAGCGTATTCACATGAGGGATAATCTCCCACACAAGGATTTTATCACGGCTGTTCAAGAACAACTGATGGGATTCATCAACGAAGAAGTCCTTAATCCCGACGGTGAATTCTACTACGACGGATCGACAATTCATAACGTCGGTCCTTCCTCTTCTGACATAACGCCGGTGTCGAAGTCGTAGCTATAGCTACCGAGCAAATAAATTGTACTATATATGCATGTATATATATATTTATATATGTACACATTTACTTTTGTGTTAATATATAATTTGGTAACATATATATATATGCACATAAAATGTTAAGTGCTTTAAATTATACATATGTGTGTGTAATATATGATTTATACACACACACACACACACACATATATATATATATATATGCCTATATATTATGCATATATATGTATTGTAACATATGTATGTATGTGTGTGTGTGTCTATATATATATATATATATAATCAACCATGCAGCAAACAGGGCCATGCAAATAAAAAAAATGGTGCACCGATCTTTAGTCCCGGTTGGTAACACAAACCGGGACTAAAGATGGTTTGGCCGGCCATGTGGCTGATCGATCTTTAGTCCCGGTTGGTAACACGAACCGGGACTAAAGATCGATCTTTAGTCCCGGTTATTTCACCCAGGACTAAAGATAGCTATCTTTAGTCCTAGATTCGTAGTCCCGGTTGGACAACCGGGACTAAAGAGGGGTTACCAACCGAGACTACAAACAGTTTCTCCCCCAGTGATATAGGAGTACCTAAGAGATAGAGACTTGTAGTACAATACAAATAAGAGTAGATTTATCTCGATTCTATCTCTAGGATATATCTTATCTCTATATTTGTATTTGACTCTTATCCCTAACTACCATATTTGTACTTCTAACATTCCCCCTCAGTCGTAACGGGAGCAAAGCGAATGATTGCGACTGGATTTGAAATCTATTTCTTCATCTCCTTCGAGTCACCATCATCAATTGCATCTCTGATGGACGGCCCTTCACCTAGTGCCTACGCCCCCTTCTATGTTGTCCCTTGACTCTCCTCTGTTCCCTCCCGCAGTCATAGTGGGAGTTTCATGGACGATAGCGATGACACAGACGCTTTGACTGGAGTTGCCACAGATGATTCTTGTTGTAGATGTTCGTCAATGTAGCCGATCATGAAGTAGCCGTGGTTGTAGGTGTAGCCGCATATAGCCGAAGGCGAAAAAAAAATTACGCCATGGTGTGAAGACGATACTACAATTAGTAGCATCTTGCACCTTGTAGATGTCAGAGGATGCCATTAGGAACGTCTTGCATATGTCAGAGGACGTCGTTGGCGATGAGGCCACCACTTTGGTTGGTCCTTCTGCGTCGTGTAGTGGTCATCACAATAGTGATGCCGTGTTGATGCAGTCGTTGTTGTTGTAGATGATGTGATCGATGCCCTCGTTGGTGACGCGGTCGTTGCCATCGTAGAGGATGCAGTCGATGTCATCGATGAAGCGTCTTGCAGATTAATTTGTCAGAGCACGCGAGGTGTCCATCTATGTGTACGAGTCAGCAGCGGCAAGTTGATGAAGACCACTGGTGATGTAGAATCGGCGAAGACGATCACATAGTCATACAGGTTATTGACACAGCAGTTAGTATGTTGATGGAGATTGAAGGCAGCAGCACTGCTCCAGGTAGAGATGATAATTGGGTTTTATTTGGCTGTGGCTAATGAAGGAATTGATCTAATGCTAATATTGGTAAAATCTAATCTATGGATTATTTATGGCAGCTAATGATGCAGAGCCCCTCCTAACAGTGTTTTTCGCATCAACAGCCCCAGGGAGAATATGGTGATCATCTCATCTCCCCAGGGCGATGCGAGCGGAAGGTAGGAACGGATCAAACGACGTTGGTCTTCGGCTATGATACCATGTGGAAAAAAAATCTAATTGTTGTATTCTGTTGTTTTTTGATCTATTAGATCGACCCTCTCGTAGGGTATATATAGGAGTACATAGGAGATAGAGACTTGGAGTACAATATAAAAGTAGATTTATCTCTAGGATATATCTTATCTCTAGGATTCTATCTCTAGGATATATCTTATCGCTATATTTGTATGTGACTCTTATCCCTAACTAACATATTTATACTTCTAACACCCTCCTCCCTTCCTCGGTTGATTTGCCTTCGACTTGCTAGCCATTGGGCACATCGCACTCCGCTGAGCTTGGACCGCCGCCGCCCCCACGTTCTTCACACGTTACGTCACCCCAAACACTCGGTGGGAGCATAGAGGGGAAGATATGAGAGAGATAGTGGCACGGCATGTGGGTCCCATGTCTAAATTTTTATTTGCTTTTAAGACTAGTTGCCACGTAGATGCCACATCAGCCAAATCCAATGAGGAAGTCATTTTACACCGATTTTAATAATTCGAGGAGTCGTTATACCCAATTGTACCATTGAGTGAGTCGAATTAGATTCGTCCTATATTTTAGGAGTCATATTGGACTGTTTCCAAAAGGCATTGAATTGACATCTAAAAGACATTTTCCTAACAAAATATTATTGTAGGGATAATATACCTATTTGAACTTTGAAGAAATAAGGTTCATAAGATCTATTTTATCAAGAATTATCAAGAAAAAAAATACATCTAATGTTAAGTAATAAGCCATTGAATTGAAGAAGATACTAGAGTCATAAAAAAAGCATGAGTCAATTTTCTAAGAAAATAATATTCTAGTATATATACTGAATTTTGAACTTAGAGATATTAGATGTACTAGCATATTACGTGTGTATTGCAACATAATTTTAATAAAAAAATATCATTAACCCATTATAACTATTGCTTTTTATTATATATCATCTTTTAATTTCTATATATATTTGTTATTGACAAGTGAGCCTCTAGTCTCATACGTCCCTTTTCATTAAAAAAGGTAGGGGTTAGTAATAGAGGTGGTTAATATGTGGGTTCTCTGATCCATACCGTCACTTTTTCATTCTTTGAAAAGTAAAGAGTTGTGGGTGTGGATAATTCATTTTTAGAAAGTAAAGAGTTGGTGGTCCTCGTTATGCCAAAATCACCGCTTACCACCATCACCACTTTTTAAAGAAGTACAGATAAAAGGTAGAGAGTTGGTAATTAGAATAGTGACATACTCATTTATCACTACTCCCTGTTTTATAAAGAAGCGTAGGTAATTATGAGAGTGCCCTCTTATTATATGTATAATTTAAAGTAAGACATTAAACGGAAGATGGTGAGAAGTTATCGCACTTCTATAGAATGCCACCTGCGCCACTAGCCAACCCAATAAAGGAAGTGTCACGTACATTACATGCAAAGCATAGGAACATGACCATGTTACGCCTCCACTAAGCTCCATCTTAAAAAAAAAATTGTTCGGTTAATTTAACTGTATAAGAAGCCAATTATTCAGACTACAAAAAGATCTCCTTTGAACAACTTACAAACCTTACGTGCTATGGTACTATTGGCATATTTCACCTTAATATAAAATTGAAGATGTTTTTATCGGTACTTTGGTACATCCTCCATATATAAATCGGTTTTTAAGTTTGCTCGCTTTTAGAAATACATATATGTATTTGAGTTGAGTTTTAAATTCGCTCGTTTTTGGAAATACAGGAGTCATATAAAAAATCTCTTAAAAAAATACATGCTAACTTAAAATGATTGGACTCTAATTACAACTTATGATTTTCTATAAATATATATATCCAAGCAAATTCTCACAGTGACTTTCACCTTAACTAAACCGTATAAAATAAAATAAAATAGCCTTCACCCATTACATGCACGGGTATTTTTTCTAGTAAAGTAAATAGGGAAATATATTACAATATGTTGATAATGGTACCAACAAATGCCAAAAATATACCACACCTTGAAATGCCATACGATATATGAACGAATACGATAATATCGATCACCAACTTCCGTTCCTCAGGCAAATTAGTCAGCAAACGTCAAGAAAATATCTGCGACCCGAACCTGAAGGAAATAAGACAGTAACAAAAGCTAGGAAAATAGCTAGTACAAACTATGCAGTTGAGGTTGAATTACATAATATAATGATACAACATGCCAAGCTGTTCACAAAAATCAAAACTGGAAAACGGCGCACCCTTCATGCAGAGCACGCCAAGCTGTATCAGCATTTGTCAGAACAATCGCCCGAACTATTCGAATATGACTCGGGCACTTTTACCCTAAATACAGAGTAACGATGATTTAAACTTTTCTCCCCGTGCAATCTGTAGACACTGCCCAGTGCTCCAGTAATTGGATTTGGGAAAGCATAGAAGATACGTTTGAATCTTTGATGTACAAGTGCCATCGCACACCTTCGATAAGAACAAGAAATATGTGAGCAACTGAACAGAAAGCAAAAGCATGATGCCATACTTCAGTAATAACTTACATTGAGCAAGGTTCCCAGACTAGGTAAATGTCAAATCCTGTACAAAGGTATGGTCTGGTTTCTGACAAGTCATCGCAGATTGCTTCATGTGCAATTTTTTTGTCGTCCTGAAGTTCAATTCTGACTTTAGCCAAAACGAGGAGAAACAATACTGATAAAGGCAACATTGAAAAGGTAGAAAATAGGAGTAACAAAGCTCACATTTCTATCCACCTTTAGTCGTTTTGCTGATTCATTAACAGAATAATACTCCATATTTCCATCTGAATTTGGTTTGGTTGATGATATAATTGAAGGGAACATCACTTTATCCCTCTCCGCAGCATTTTCAATCGCAACTATGGCAGCATGTCTCAGAGGGTGCCATGGAAAACCACCTTCACAGGGCAATGACTTCTGCTCAGACGGCCTTGGTTTCATCCATCCCCAAGGGTTTAAACATGAGGCTTCCATATTCAGGCTGTTGCATTTAGAAACATTGGAGTTTGACAGGAACAACCTGCTCCCTTTCTTCTCAGTTACTTCAAGTGATGAGAAGGGGCTGTCTGAATTCAATTCAGCACATTTGTTACTTTTTAAACTATCATGTTGGAGCGTTTGGTCTGTAGCCTTTGCAATAATCTGCATGGTTGATGGATTAACAACAACAGCAGCATTGCCCACCTGGTACAAGCAAGGAACCCATGTTGAATTAAACATAATTATTTGATCTACACTGAAGTAAACAGCAGAGCATGACAGACATCATATGCATGTCCAGCAGTTTCGTGTTAAAGGAAGCACATATATGGACATCGTGCTTAATAACAAGGATTTAAATCTTCTCCAATAGAGGATAAATACTTGCTCTCAAGCATATGTACCTCACAATTTATTAAACTTGTTAGGTTCGCACAGATAGGTTGCCACGCAATACTACAAAAATGTCTTATTACTAGCTCCTTAAATTATCACAGGTAATAACTATATTGAGGAAGGAATGACATCAGGCCTGAATTGGAGGGCTTTAGGAGAGAAACCCTAGGGTGGGGTGATATTTAAAACAGAGAAACTACTTCACTGATCTTGCTTGATTCACAATGATAACTGGCTCATGTAGTGGAAATGGCATCTAAAGGACACAAGATTTGAAAGAAATTCCAAAAGATAAGAACTAGATACAGGTAGCAAGTTGGATACAACTTATATTGCTTATCATATTTTCTTCCCACATCATAGCCGGCCATGATCCTGTCTGCCTGAGTCTTTCCCTAGTCCCTACTCCCTACACAACCACTGCACCACCATCCACACTACTGTTTCAGGGGGTGTTTAGATCCAGGGGTGTAAAGTTTTGGCATGTCACATCGGAATGGGGTGTTTGGGCACTAATGAAAAAACTAATTATAGAATCCGTCAGTAAACCGCGAGACGAATTTATTAAGCCTAATTAATCCGTTATTAGCAAATGTTTACTGTAGCACCACATTGTCAAATCATGGAGCAATTATGCTTAAAAGATTCGTCTCGCAAATTAGTCGCAATCTGTGCAATTAGTTATTTTTTTAGCCTATATTTAATACTTCATGCAGGTGTTCAAACTTTCAATGTGACAGGGTGTAAAATTTTGGGGTGGGAACTAAACAGGCCCTCAATGTTGATGTCAACCGCAGTTGACAACCACAGCTGTAATTCTCAACTTTGAGTGCTACATCTACACTTTGTCCACATCCAGAATTTTCCTTTATGTCCAGGTTAACAATAAAGGAATGCATCTGAGTTATGGATGGTAGCTATTTGAAATCTGATTATGGATCAAAACTTTATTATCCAATACTCAAAAGGAGAGAAGAGACATGGGAACATATCATCCTAGTCCCTTGTTTTGCGTCAATGCCATAGACAGCAGTAAGCATATAGACACTATTCAAGTATGTGAAGGACAAAGATGATGAATGCTCGTCGTAAAACCGCTTCAGTGTGATGGTTGAAGCCCTTGGTAGCCTCTCGAAACCTAGAGTACATGACAACATTCATGAGAACATGACATGTTACTTGAGAGATTCCTTAGAAAAGGTTCAGAAGGGTGAACATGGAATGTGGCAGAGGTCAGAGTACGCCAATGAGGCAATCCTATTAAAGTACAAAATGGATGAACAGTGAAAGTGTGAATCCCTCCCATCTTCATTGATCTCAAATGTCCCCTTTTATAGGGAGGATTTATGTACATCCCTAGGATTCTCCTAGGATTTAAGGAGGTTTTAAGCCTCTAAACGTGGCTGTTTATATGACACAAATGCTCCTCAATATGGCTGTTACAAGATTGATGATTCACTTGAATGCTGCCATTGCTGCCCTTTGATGAGATCAAATATGGCCTAATGATGGCTTTTGTAACAAATCCCACACAGGGCACTCTACATGCTCCACACCATGAAACCTAAGTCAATGGCATGGAGGAGGTGGCCAGGTAACAATGATAGCCTTGAATGTGGTACCTATGCATACATGTTCATCACTTCTATGAACATGCTTTCAAGCTACATTTCAGCCCAAGATGAACATAAGGTGACTTTGCTCTTGACGTAGGATTGGCCCAATTTCCAGGTGAGAAGGATAATTTTGATAAGGAAGAGAATGGCCTAATATGACTAAACACCAAACTTGCCAAACCGCACTACAAGTTGTTATTAATTGTGCTAAGACATAGCTGCAAGAATAACAAAGTAAAGAATGATTATTCGATGAGGTATTGAAGTTAAAAAATATAATAGTCTGACTGAATTATTAGTCAGCATGGGTTCTGAAGTTACAATCTCTGACTGATTAACACCAGTGAAGCACTCAAGGCAATTGGAACTAGACAAAACCTGAAACAGCTAGCAATAGAAGGAGCCTAGAATCAGCATCAGATTGCTCACAGGAATTTATCTTTGTGATCATACATATCCGGATCATTGAAATCATATCCACCAAAACTACGGCTATCCTTTTCAGAAGATGGTCAGGCCAAAATTCCTCATCAAATGGAGGAAGGCTCAGAAGCCATAATTAGTGGCTTCAATACAAATGTAGCGTGGGATTGCACGACTAAAGGTGATGAGGCCATATGCAAGGAATATATATGAGAATGATACTTTAATTATTATTCTTTCTCAATTCACTACCTGGGTTTACCAGCTGGCTACTGCCAGTTCTATAAACTTTGATATACGCATGAACGCATAGGTAGCTAACCAATGATGTTCAATTGTTCATGTTAAAGCACTGGTTAACAACTTAACATCCTAAAGAAACATGCAAGCATAGTGCCCACACCAGGTGGAATACTATATTTATAGCATAGCAAGAAAGGAATACTTTAAAAACAACAGTAAAGTCACCTCAGATAACCGCAGTGCAGTTCTCATGCAATTAAATATTGATGGCAATTCACACTCTTTGAATCCAGATACACCATCCAAGCTGCAAGTAACAAAATGGCTATCAGCACAGCTGTAAAACAAAATGCAATAAAACATGCTCCAGCTAACTTTTGGTTTATTGGTTCATTGCAAGTCCAACTCAACTGAGCATGTGGAGGAGAAATTAGTATATCAATATTTGTATTGTAAGGTATAATCTGATGGATAACTAGGAAGAGATGATATTGTATGGTACAGATGACCCTGGTTTCACTGCCATCCAGAAATAATACAAAGCGAGATGACACTTGGCACCTGCATTTTTCACCTATGACTCTCTAAGTACATTTTACATTGATATCTGGTCATAGCTACAAAGAAGATATTTTGGCACTAAATGCAGTTAATACTCTTGATGTGGTAGTCCACTGTAAAGAGAAAAAAAAATCAAAGATGACCCTTCAATAGTTTCAACCATGGAACTTTGAACCCTCTAAATATGATGAAAATGACATTGTTCCATGCCAGATTACACTCTGGTCACAAAGCAAGCTAATTATGAGTGAGACAAATCATCCACAAAATTGATTTTGATAAACAGCTAACCCAAAACAGATTAAGGCATGTTAGGATCTCTTCCCCGGCTTGGGAAAGCCTTTCTCAACAAGGCCAGTAAGACAACAAGTTAAGTGGCTTTATGGGACAATTAATCGGTCTACTTGGTATGACAGTTTACAAGGTAGTTAAATGATAGTGATTACAATGTTTTTTTTGCTAGTGATTAGCAGGCTTATGGTTTAGTTCTAGGACTTAAAAGGTATGTCAAGAACATGTCGACCAATGAATTTAGCCATATGATAGCTTTCGGTTGCTGATTTGGTATTAAAGTTAGTTAGAAACTACTCCTATCGGTCTTGAAAACATGTTGTTTTGGTCTTTTTGATGCGTTTCAAGTAAAAAATTAAGAACTTTGAACATCAATATCTTTTTAAGTATGTAGGTTGCATGCATGAGAATAATATGTTTAGATTTGTTTCAGAAAAATACTTTCATAAAATTATAACTTTCTCGGGTCATAGAAATATCTTGGAGTAGAAATTTGTGGTCAAAGTTGTTCCAGGTCGTGTAAGCATCCAAAACACATCTTTGAGACCAGAGAGAGTAACTATTTATGATGAGAAGATGGTAGGATAGATATTAATTTTGTGGCAGGGATTCAGTGACGAGGCATAGTCCTTGCAGATTTGATATTATGTGAATATACATACATAAATGGAAAATATAAATAGGCAAACCAGATATTTAGGCTGACTAAGACCCGGATTACCATACACTCGCCGCTACAAGGTGAGGCAACCTAGTACGTACTTGTTACTGAGTTTCATAACCATTGTTACTTAAACATTCATCAGAATAAAACATAATGTGGTCTGTGCAGAAACATACTCGTGTGGGGGATGATAAGATGTTGGCCAAAGTTTGCATTGTTCCTCCCACTCCTCTTTTGAAGTAGCAGGAAACCTCGCAACCTGAGAAAGATTTCTAGCAACAATAAATGATATATGATATGCCTAATATAAAGACAGATTCATATCATAAGAACATAGCAAAATCTTCTTACTAATCAATTGCTTGAAGAATGATACTCCCCTGTCACAAATAAGTGACATTTTGGTGCATGTGCACTTGTGCGGATAAACTTTGGCTATCAACACGATCTCTACGAATATTTAGATTGCACACAAGAAAATGATATTTGCAGATTGTTTTGGAGCATACTGTATTTTTCAATATATCATAACTTTCATTTGCAGATGTCCAAACATTCCTTGTGACTGGAAGGATTACCTAAAGATAAAATGCTATATCTTTATCTATTATTACTACTATGATCCATACATTCCTTAGATGTTGATGGATTCAGGAGGATTAAATATCACTTCACATTGCCTGTAGGTCACACAAAGAAACATGTAAGGATTTAACACGGAACAATCACTATCTTGGTGGATAATTTCCATATAAGTAAAACTAGAGACCAATAATTTTGATCTTAATGAATGTATGACATGATTAAGTTAGTAAATAAGTCCAATATGCCTACAAAAACAACAGAGAACTCAAATTTCCGAACTCCCAAGGTTAACAAAAGTACTTACTTTTGCAATGAAAGTATTCAATTCGTAGGTACCTACAATCTTTTTTACATCTTGAGGAAACATTTCGCTACAATGTTCAGGCCCAGTTGCAAGGCATAAGATGATTGATAACTCAGATTTTTCTGTCAAGGAAAAGATAATCAAATTATAAAAGTAAACAGAAAAGTGTTCAACATAATTACCCAGGAACTAACTTAAAACATTTGTAGGCTGGTCAGTTTTATGTCCATATTCTAGCAATGGATCAGCATGTACTAGCCTACTCTTGCACTTCTTCTTAGGCAGAATCAACGGAAAACACTATGAGCTTCTAGATTTTAGTTCCCAGTTCTGCTGCTTTTTTAGGTAAGACTAAGTTTCTTGAAAATAAGGTTCAGCATCTCACATGACAATATCAGCATTAAAGATTGAAGAGTATCGTTGAATGAGGAATCAAATTATATATTTAACTTGTTGAAGAGAAAGCCTGCTGATAAATTCCACCAAGGTTATAATCATTTATAGGGTTGGAAATCCACATTTAAGATAGTTTTGTTACACTTACACTCATATACTATAATTCTGGGGGCAATACCACCCCCAACCCCCTGGTATTCACAATGACAGACCAAATTAAGCTCAATCTGAAAAGGTGGAGCTTTGCATGTTGAATTGATGATTTGGCTTCATATAAACTGCCGTGCACATGCATGCACAAGTTTTTACAACAGTAGACCCAAAGCTGCTACAAACCATCTATTTTGTTTGGGTGTTGGATGTGTGGCCAGTATTACAGTGTATGGATGAATGGTGAAGCTGGACCAACTTATAAAGTAGATGGACATATCATGGAATCGATTGAGAAAAGAAAAAAGAACATTTACCACCATATTCACAGCACCGACGCACCCGTTTTACATGCCGAAGATTCTCCAATGGGCATGCTTGACTCAATTGCCTGAAACCCAGTCACATTGATAACATCACTGCTCTAAATATAGCCCACTTGTTAATTATAGTCAAACCGTAACAAAAGAAAAATAACAGCACATGAAAAGAAGAGACAAACATGTCAAATAAATAAGTGAAATACATGGCCGGTCCTTAAACTTCTGGGGTGGTGTCACTTAGGTCCCTAAACTTGACCACTTTTAGGGACCTAAGTGACACCACCACACAAGTTTAGGGACTGCTCATGTATTTCACTCAATAAAGATACACATGCCATTTAGACATCGGAAATTAAGCAACTGTGACACATAATTCAAACTTCCTATTTGAAGAAACTATCAACAAAACAATTAAAATTCCAATTTCATGCCAACATACGAATTGTAATCAATATATGTACATTCTTTACAATTAAATCATTATATAAGCTTCTGTTAAATTAGTTGGGGTTTAGATTCTGAATCCCAATGATTCCTGAAATGAATTAAACAAATATGTATTCAGTCTTTTTGACAAGAAATATTCAAATTAAGATTTTTATTTAACTCTTAGACGATGACATAAAGAAAAAGTCCTATCAAGAGAAATTAAATTCGAAATGTAACATTATAAAATTCATAATACAGCGTAACCTAAAACAATGCCATCTCTCTGTTTTTTTATCGACTAAATTGCGCAGAACAGAGTAAACAATCCATTCAAGTTCTTGGTAAATTCAGTTCTAAATTCCTGAATTGAAATTTGTAAATGAGAATGCTATAATTAGCATTAAAAAGGGAGAAAATGTGGAGTTCCAGTCCTTTACCGAATGAGACTGTTGGCTAACTTGGGCTCAATCTTGGCAGCAATCACTTCAACTGCCCAAGAAAATAAATAAGAAATAACACTATGAAACTAGCATAGGGAAAAAATAACTAGATTGAATAAAACAGAAACCTGTAGAGCCACGGAGGGAGGGAGTTGGGTTGCCTGGGACCTCAGTGAGTTCCCATGCCATGAAGACCAATTCGCAAGGTAAACTGGAGTCGAGAACAAGAGATCTTAGGCAGAGGTTCTAAGGTAGATACGCCATCAAAAATGAAAAAAAGCAAGGATGCACACATTTTGCCTCAGTAATGCTAAATCGTAGATCAAAGAATCAACTGCCCCCTGCATGTTTATCAAGTGCATCAGCTCTGTTCCAATTTCTCCGACCACCCTTAACAAAATTACTACTTCCCCATTCCTATTCATGTCTTGCCCAATAGGCCAATACCAAAACATACAATGACAGCAGCGACTTACTTGCATCCAGTCATTCACAAATCTAGTATTGGCATGTGGCCTGTGGGCGGCAGGATAGCAGTGGGATTTTTTGTGAACAAGGGATCCTCTACACATGAAATTCACTTATTTTGGCTGGCAGTTTTTGTTCTATGTGGGAACTAATAAGAAGATAAGATCTTTTGTGCAGAATAATGTGTGACACCATATGTTTTTAGTGTTTTACTGACTATAAGAGTATGTTATATTTGATGATATATATAATATTTTCACTAAAAATATATATATATATATATGGGGCGAGTCCCCGAATCCTTTTTTTTTTCAGCTTGCCAAGTCGGACACTCGAGTCCGAGTCGGACTCCGACACCTGTGTCCGTGTCCCGGTAACACTGCGTTGAGTAGGAGCCTCGGATGTGGAGGCATGTGCCGGAGCGGGGAGTAGCCAGGATTTTTTGGTTGGGTAGTCCTACTTCAAAGGTTCACATCACATATAAAAAATTTCCGAACACCGCAAATCCCATATACAAGTACAAATTTAATTAAAATGTGATAAAAATAAATCAATAATATCTTTTAACATCAATAATCGACTAATTTTAAAAAGCACGTTCAAAATGTGCAAGTTCAAACGATGCAATATCCACATTACTCTTCATCAGAATCTACAAATCCTACAAACTACAATGGCAGCAAATCAGCAGCATATCGCTGACTCATCATAGATGAGCAGGCCCAGGATTTTAAAGTTGTGTATTCAAAACGTAAAAGGGTAGGAATTTTTTTTTAGAGCAAAAGACTAATGTTTGGCATGTATAATATCACACAATTCTAAACTATTAGTTGTGTATATTCTATAGCGGATATAACACAAACTTGAGCATAATTTTGTATATTCATAGAATTTTCATATAAAATCCTCCACATATAGAATTACAACATTTAATTTACAATTTTTCAACATATCAATATCTAGAACATGGCAAATGATAATAAATAAATCTTACAATTTAGAGGACAATTTGCCAATGCTTTTTTTTAAAAAAAAAATGAATGATGCTGTCCTCATCCTTAACTTGAGAAGAAATCCCTTTCAATAAATGTAACCAAGCAACCATTCAAGTTTTTTTGCCCTTGCTTCTTAAATTGTTTTTATATAGTTCATTGAAGAAAATCCCTTAATGACTCTAGTTCTATTGATGCATGCAAACTTACAAAATGTAAAGTCGCAGCACATACAGAATTGGAGCCGTGGAACAAACCTGAGACAAGATAGTGAGGACTTGAAACAGTCAAACGCTAAGATAGATAGACAAACAGACAGAGTCAGTGAGGGCGTTGGGCGGCTGCTGGCCTCCAGGGGCGGGCCCAGGATTTTCAACTTGGGTATTCGAAATTAGAAGGGATAAAATATTTTTTTCCAACCCACAAAGTCTAATAGTTGTATATTTATAACGGTATAAAGTGTTCATAGAATCGACCAAAAATTGAATGTGTTAAGCATATTAAAGTACAGTACTAAACTATTAATTGACAGAACATATCAAATTTATAGAGCATAGAAAATGGAAAAATGATAAGAAATCTTACAATTCAGAAAAGAACATTCCGCTTCTTGATATTTTGAAAATATGTGCACTGATAAATACTACAATATGGTCTTCCAATTTAAGTACTGACCATGCTAACTCTGCTAAATATGTGCACTGATAAATACTAACTCTGCTACAAAGCTTCAGAAATCAGTGAATCACAAGTTTCAAAGTTCAATTGTTCAACCATGAACCATGAACCATCCCTGGATGGCTGGATTCAAATCCTAAATAAAAAAAATGTTCAACCATGAACCATTCCTGATTCCTGGATTCAAATAAACTAATCCTAAATCCTAAATCAAATGAACCATCCTAGATTCAACTGTGAACAATTCCTAACCCAAAATGTTTCTAACCAAAGTAACCATCCTGGATTTAGGCAGTACAGAGCTGAGAAAAAGGACAATATGCCACTCCATTCGGTGGGTTTAGATAAAATGCCACCCAATACATTGCAAATGATAAAATGCCACTCAATATATTACTTTCAGGATATTTTGCCACTTTGAGGGATTTTAAGACCAAAATACCGCTGGCTGTGGATAGAGAGGAAGAGGGAGGAGCGGAAGGTTGACCCGGACGACGCTCATGCTCGCCGGCGGCGGGTGGCGAGCGCACTGGGGCGGGCTGCGACGGGCGGACAGGGGGAGGAAGACGGCGACGGCGATGGGGAAGGAAGACGCCGGCGATGGGGGAGGAAGACGCCGGCGAAGAGGGAGGAAGACGGCGGCGGCGATGGGGGAGGAGGGCTTACCGGCGTCTTCTTCCTCTCCTCGTCGCCGCTAGCGGGAGCACAGACGGCGCTCGTTCTTCCCTCGTTGCCGCCCGCCGCCGGCGACTACAGCCGACGCCGTTCGACTCCCCTCTCCGGCTCTCTCCCCCTTCCTCTCTCTCTCCATGGTAGGGGCATATTTGTCTTAAACCTTCTTAAAGTGGCAAAATATCCCAAAAATAACCTATTAAGTAGTATTTTATCCTTCGCAATGTATTAGGTGGCATTTTGTTAAAAACCCTCCGTATCATATGAGTGGCATATGGAGTGGCAGGGGAAGAATTACCTTCGTGTGGAGCTCCGGGAGGCGTCGCGGTGCGGGGAGTGGAGGGTGGCGGCGCGGGCCGCGGGACGCCGGGACAGCGTGGGGAGGCGCCGAGTCGACGACGGCGCATCGGCGGTCGCCCGGTCGCTCTCCTGGCTGTGGCGGCTGGATGGGTTAATTAGATTTTGGGATGTTCTTTTGGGCCAATGGGCCTGAAATAGTGAGGAGAGAAGGAATAAGTTCATCTGAAGTCCCTTGACTTGTAAAGGAATCCGATTTAAGTCCTTCAACCAGAAAACCAAATACGACGGGTACCTCAACTATCAAAACCGATGTAATATAGGTCCCATGGCAGTTTGGATGATGATTTTAGCTGATGTGGCGCCTACATTGCTAATTTAACTCGTTTTTCATCTAACGTGGTATTCACGTGGTACATGAAGCAAAATTTAATCTTTATTATTATAAAAATTGAAGATATTTTTACCGGAACTTTGGTACGTCATCCGTGTTTGAGTTGATTTTTTAATTTTATGTTATCTCTATCAACATTTCCGTTGTCTGTTAATAAAGAAAAAAAAAGTCCTACTCAAAGAGGTAAAAACGAAAAAACAAAGTCCGACTCAAAAGCAATAATAAAAAAAACTTCTGTCGACAGTAAAATAAAAAAAAAAGCATCTTGCGTCCGACTCCCATAAAAAAAAGGAAAAAAAAGTCTCGCCAATAAAAAGAACAAAAAAGAAGTCCGTTTGGTTTCTTTGGCACGGGTATTTTTTTCAATTTTTTTTTACGCGAAAGAGTTTTTTTTCGCACGCGCCTAGGCTCTTGGTTTTTTCATCTTTTTTTAATCCCATCGCGCCTCCCGGCAGCTTTTGGTTTTTTTATCAATTTTTTTGTCGCCGGTTTTTTCTCCTATGTGCTTTTGGTTTTTCTCATCTGGTTTTTTAATCCGATCTTTTTGCCGCACGCCTCCCGAGTTGAACCCTGTAGCCGCGCCGCCGCTATATTGATTGTGCGTTTTCTCCTCAAAATAAAATCGATTCCCCACTCCTCCCTCATCATTTCCTCCATTATTTTCCCTTTCGATTCGGATTTAATTTGTCATATTTAATATCCGTTTAACATTTGCCGATGATAATAGCTATCTTCCCCGGTATTTTTATCTTGAGTTTTACACTCTGATTTTAGAAAAAAAAATATAAAGAGGAGATCGAGTGGATGAAACACCCTCAACTAATTTATTTTGGGTTATCGAGAAAGATTCGACTGATTTGACGAGGAACAAAGAGTTTTACGCTCTGATTTTGGAAAAAACGGAAAGAAAAGATTGAGTGGATAAAAAATCCTCAACCAATTTTAAGTGATCGAGAAAAATTCGACCAGATTTAATGGGGGAATTTTGCTTCGGTAACCATCCAGCCACGGACTATCTTCGAGGGGTTGAAGATGGTAGTAGACTATGCTAGCTGAGCTTACGGCTACTTGGCTACAGGCCAAACAGAGGGACGTAGCAGACTGGCCTAGGGCAAAAATGAAAGGAAGGCTATCTACCCTAGACCCAGGAAAGATTTTCATTAACTTTTTCAATTAAAATGTATATAGCGATCCCAATATTTCAATTTATTGCTCAGCTTTTAATATATAAGTGAAAAAACGTCTTTACAAGTTGCAACGCACGAGTCGTTGCAACGCACAAGCATTTTTTCTAGTAACTTAAAAAATAAAACAAAATATGTGGGCCAACATGTCAGTCAAATAATAAATTTTAAAATATTAGGACCCACATGTCAGTGGCCCACTTCCTCCACCTCATCCCCTCTCTTCTCTCTCTTTCCCTTCTCCTTCTCCCCTCTTCCCTTTCTTCTTCTCCATATGCGGCCGGTAGCGCACGGCTGAGGTGGTGGGCGGCGGAAGAGAGGCTTTTAATGGACCTAGTGCGGCAGGTCCACCAGTCGATGGTGAACCCGACGACGCTATCCATGGCTACGCCGCCGTAGAGGGAAGGGAGCAACGGTAGATGGCCTTGAGAGCCATGGATCCACGTCAGGTGGACACCTTGTGCCCTCGTCCGTCGTTGCTCCCGTGGTGGCGGCGTCGGCAGGCACGGTGTTGACGCCCTTGGTGCCGTGGCTGAGCATGGAGAGGGCCTTGAGGTCAGTGAGGCTCAGTTGCGGTGACACAACCCCATTCTTAAGGAGTGGTACCGATCTGAATCCCCTGAACTCATCTCACCGGTGTGTGGCTACTGTGGGCAACCGGCGAAGAGGGGCCTTCGGTGGACTTGATGGCCGACGAGCTGCTCTAGGAGATCCTGATACGCCTGCTGCCCCGCAGCATCATCAGTATTTAAGCTAATCTACACCATCGCCGAGATCTAGAGGCCCGCGGCGGCTCGTCTCCGTCGCCAACATGCGCCGCCCGTCGGCTGTATTGCTGCATCCTGCCTTCTACCATTTTCAAAAAAAAAAATTGCAATTTGGTCCTCGGCGCCAATGTCGTTAGCGCCGTCCCCCTTCACATTTCTAAATTAACTTTCATCGGGGGGCTAGGGGGACGGCGCCAACGTCATTGGCGCCGTCATATTGGACCACGGCGCCAAAGACATTGGCGCCACGAAAAGGATCATTCTAGAATAAGGTTTTTTAAGGGTCTATTTGTAGGATAAGTTTTTCAAAAGGATTAAAATGTGAAAAATCCAGCCTTGCATGACACGCTCACAGTGTTCATGGAAGTTGACTCAAATTATCATGGGGTGCGCAATATCTCAGCACCCCAAAGCACCATAGCCCTTGCACACTCTAGAAGCAATTGATATCTATACTTCTATATCTACGGCCTGTTTGGCACAGCTCCAGCTCCACCCCTCCTGGAGTTGGAGCTCAGCCAAACAGTTTCAGCTTCACCAAAAGTATGAGTGGAGCTGGATGGAGCTCTCTCACAAAATGAACTAGAGTTGTGGAGCTGAGTTTAGGCAGCTCCACAACTCTACTCCAGACTCAACTTCTGAAACTAAATTTAGGAGTTGGAGCTGTACCAAACAGGCCCCTATACTAGTATAAAAAGGAGGAGTTTTACCCTCCAATCCTACAGCCAAATCACACAGATAACGCGGTATCCGGCATCTCCATCATGTTCAATCCATCGCTAATCCTCGCCGCGTTCCCCGCCTCCGCCCTCGCACCCAAATCCCACGGCATTCAATCCATCGCGCAATCTCGCCGCCGCGACAAATCCTCAAAACCGCTGCGCTCACCCCGCCACCGCGCATCCATCCATCCATCGCCATGTCGCGCATCCTCCCCATCCCTCACCGGTGAGAGAGAGGAAGAATGTACACGCCCTCTCTCCCGCATCTCGCGGTCAGCCTCGCGCTCACCACCTGCCCTTGATTGCCATGCCAGTCCGGGCTCCAGCGCCACGGCCGGCTTCTGTCACCAGATCCGCCTCGCCTAAAGCAGCCGACGCCTGATTCTCTCTTGTGCAACTTCCATGCTTGTATGGATCCAGGCAGGCTTTCAGCCGCCAGCGGCGGCCGCTGGATGTGGCTTATCATCTCTGCCCTCGCTGCTGGATCGAGGATGCCGCTCACCACCATAGCCGTTCAAGCAGGGGAAGCTGGTCACTTCTGTGGTAGCACCGGTAATCATCGTGGTAAAGTATATGCACGATTGGTAGATTGATTGATCAATCAGAAGATACGCTCGCTTGGTCTGATGGTCTTGTTCAGTGTTCACTGTTGGCTGAGATAGATTGATTGGTTGTTTTCTCGGGAATTTGCAACAGAGGGGAATTTTCATGAAGCTCATCCATAGGTGGACGATGGACAGCAATGCCACGGAAGGCGAAAGAGCACGCCGCGACAAGAAAGCTCATGAACCAGCAGATGGACCCTTTTAATCAGACATTGCTTTCTTTTATCAGGTTTTACAGCTTGCTTACACACATACAGTGCTTGCTTTAACAAGTAGTATATGTTTATCGTGTTTAACCTACAGCTTTACAAGTCCAGGTGTTAGATTAGTTGATTCGAAGGTAATCATTTAGTTTCTCAGGGATGGTAATTTGAAGATTGTAAAACCTTCTATATTTAGGCCTATTATATCAGAGTTAATAAAATGGGACTGGAAGAGGGATTTGTGTTCTAATATGAATGTCGACAAGAAGGCAAAACTTTTGGAAAGGAATAATGAGTAGAAAGAAGAGCAACATCTGGTATGAAAGATTTCTGTAACATACACCTAATTTATATGAAACCAACCTGAAACAACAAATTGTGCTTATCAAATTGATAAGAGTACTTGCATTAGCCTATGGCTTGTGTTTTTTTTTTTTGGCTATGAAAAGCTTTGGTATACATTATATTATTTGTATTCTTCCACGGTTTCAGCTTATTTTGGTACCATATTTGAAGGATGGATTAATTCCCCCGAGCACCCCAATTGATGTTGCACAACATAAGCACCAGCTGTTAAACTATGTCACGTAAATGGAGATCTTGGCCTCACTGTCTGCTTGAGTACCCCTACAGGTGAATCCTCTTTCAATATTATATAATCTATCAACAAGTTCAAGTGAATGATTGAGCTATTAGAGGATGGCACATATCTAGCCTTGAGCTTAATCGATATCGTGAGGCAAAGGGGTTCATACAAGTATACACTAGAGGTTCAGTCGATATGATCTTTATATATGCCCGGTGGGTCAATATGTTCTGCTAGGGGCCGCCGTTGACGCGTGGACCGAAAAGGAGTTTTCGGGTTTCAACCGAGTGTACATGAACCTACAGGGTCGCACGCTTAATGGGCCGGAATAAGGGGTTTGGATGGAGATCCAATATGAGCTTAATTCGGATAGGGATCTGAATAGGATTCCTACGGGCCTTGGAGGCCCGAGTGATGGATCCTATATATTCGTGAGGGGTGCGACCGGCGGAGGCATTGCATCACGTAAGAAACCCTAGCCGTCACTTCCCTCCCCGAGCAAAACCCTAGCCGCGGGCGGGTGCTAGCACATCTGCGCGTGGTGTTCCGTCCCTGTACGTGTGGATACCGGTAGAGGCGCCGCTAGTTTGCGGTGCTGATCGGCGTGGGAGTACGGCGAGAAGAACGCACGAGGAGGAGAAGGTCGAGCCGGTGCGATCGACTACTTTCTCTACATCGCCGCGCGCTACTTCGCAAGAATTCCTTCGACTTATTAGCGCCTTTTTCCGTTGCGCAGCGCGTCGAGTGGTAATGATCTATGATCTAATACTTGCATGGTTCCTGGTTTACGCGATAGAAAATTTTGATTTATGCTGTCGTAGCCTACGCGTATCCCAACAGCTTGTGCTCTACTTTGGCACCTACCGTCCTGGGATCCCTTCGCCGGGGTGTTATCTGGTGCTCAACACCTGGGCCAACTCGGTCGCCATCATCCCGCCTCTGCACACCACCTGCGTTACCAGCATGTCGCACTGCGGCATTGGGACCGGGGTCACCATCCTACGCCACAACGACTACTACGACTACGTCCTCGTCGAGCTCTTCTCACATCAGGACACCCGAACCCATCTCGCCTCCAATAAGGTCACTCTCTTCTTGTGGTGGTCTCCTAGCTCTGGCCCGCGGTCAGTGGATACAGAAAGAGGTGCTACTCCCCATCCCTGCTTCCAATCAAGAAAAGGACGACGTGACATGGCCACCCACCTACTCCTTCCGTGCAGACATGGTGTTTGCTGTTTTGACTACCTCGCTTTGCTGGGTTGATCTTAGGACAGGGATCTTGGTCTGCGATCACATTGACAAGCTCAGCACCGGCACTGACGACGATGATGATCACCTGCTTTTGTTCTTCATCTCATTGCCTGAGGAATGCGTCATGAAGCCTAGCCTTCTATCTTGGAAGAGGTTGGCAGAAGAGCACCGCACCATGATCTGTAGGGACCCGGAGACCATCCTGTTCATCTCCATGGACAACTACATCCAAGGCCTCCCCATTGGCGATACAGTGCTCACGACATGGACTCTCAAGTTCCCACTCACGAACCATTGGACTTGGGAGAAGCACTCTGCTCCATCCTTGTTCGTGGGAGACCTTCTAAATGACCTTCCAGTCTTGAAATTAAAGAATCCAAGGATGATAGGAAGGCGCTGCACATTGCCAACTGCCCGGTCAGTAGCATTGACAGTCAAAACCATCTTATCACTAGCCTCACTATTACCGAGTATGAGAGGAAGCATGAGCAAGGGCATTGGGGAGTCACGGGATTCTGTACGAGATCAGCATTGACATGGATGGTAGAACGGTCTTGGAGTGGTCTTCTCTTGAAAGTCGCCACTCAAAGATATTTGCAGCTGAGTTTAACTGCTGCTTACAACAGGTACACTACTCCCTCTTTTGTCCATTTAAAGTGTATATAATTTTGATACGGCAAACTCTTGGAAAGTTAATTTAAAGGGTGAACTCCATTTCATCGTCACATCTGCGGTTTGCTCCTTTCCCATTTTTCCCCTTCTTTTTTTAGATTGCCCTAACTTCCTTCTCTTTTGTGAACTTTGTTTCTTCGAAACAATGGAATGGGAAAGTTTGCAGCGGAGTTGGTCATCAACATTTAAGTCGTTGAGCGACGAAGAAGTGGTTGATGAGGATGATGAAAATTGGAAGTGGGTGTTCCCGGATGAAGTGGGTAATGAGTGACTTGTTTAAGCATTTTACAAAACTAGTAATGTGCCCGTGCTAACGCTACGGCGGTATTTTATAATGCAAGTGTTGTATATTCACATTGTTGGAAAATGCTATTGACAATTCTTAGTACAAAATGTAATAGCAATGAACCGATGTTATAATCGATTGATGCATATCCTTGTTGCGTTGTTCCGACCCACCATTTCAATCTCAAAAGATTATTGACATAATCATAAAAAAACAAATTTCCACAATTGTACACTGGCAAGAAACCTAGGAAGACAGTGTCAAGCACATATATAGTCGAAGACACTGGCAAGATCCCTGTGGTTGAAGCACATAAACAGGTATGCAGCCTAGCTAAGGAAGAAGGAACGTTTGAGAAGTGGGAGTAGCTACTACATAAGTGGGATCGAACTGCATAGATCTCAGCTACTTCTTGTTGGCTTCTTCCCCAACCATGCAAAGAATTGTATATAGAGCCACCATACGCGCTGCAACATGGCCAACTGATAATATAGGATTTAGTACAGCTAGGCAATTGAAGAGACTGAGCACATACACTTTGGCTGTTTTAAATAAAACATTTTCTTTTGTATTGTCTCTGCAAGTGCTCAATCAGAAAAGGTTAATCAGAATTGTCACCAGGTGACAATCTCACAAACCAAGTAGGCAGATTTCTTTTTTATCAATGATGTGACAGATCGAATTGAACTTTTGCATATCATTATTGTAAACAAGGTAAATCCTTTTTTAATTGGTTCATGCAAATGGAAACTACATCAGAAATGTGGTGCCCTATCATGGCCTAGGTTATGCCTGAATTTTCTTGTGCCTTGCTAAAGAAAGAACTGTCCATGTTTCTTCATATTTGAAGATTCAAATAATTCCAGTTTTTCCATTTCGCAATCAATCACTGACTCTCTGTTAAAACCAAGAAGAGAGAATCCATTATATGCCACTGACTTTGTCACATGTCTATGATTTGCCACTGACTTTCTCACGTTCTTACAATATGCCATCAACTTTTTCTTAACTTCTACGATTTACCATCGCTGTCCAGTTAGCCTTTGTTAGCACCGCACAATTTTATCTAAATGACCAAAATACCCCTAGGACAAAAACTTCCAAAATTTGGACAAAAATTCGAAAATATCATATTATAAACACAAGATTATAAACATTCAAATTTTGGCCAAAAACTTAAAATATGATATTTCATAATGTTTATCCAAATTTTGAAATTTTTTGTCCCAGGGGTATTTTAGTCATTTGAGCAAATTTATAGAGTACTAACGGAGGCTAACTAAACGGCGATAGTAAATCGTAGAAATTAAGTAAAAGTCGATGGCATATTGTAAACTTGATAAAGTCAGTGGCAAATCGTAGATCCGTGACAAACTCAGTGGCATATAATAGGTTCTCTCCAAGAAAAATCAGGAGAAACTAAAATTAGTGAAAGAACATACCATAATGGCTAGAATGTTTGATCTGCACCGATGACGCCTGAAACTGACCCAGGGAGGTGAAACTAAAATATCAATTCTGAATCATCATGCGTTGCTGTCCTCAATTACATCAAGTAGTGATCATTCAAAACACATAGGCTTACATCGCAAGGAGCCAAGGTAACAGGAAAAACCAACATTTAAGTGCTGTTGAAAAAGACACTAATTCCATCCAAACACCATAATACAGGATTTAGTACAGCTAGGCAATTGGAGAGACTGCGTACATACACTTTGGCTGTTTAAAATAAAACATTTTATTTTGTATTTTCTCTGCAAGTGCTCAATCAGAAAAGGTTAATCAGAATTGTCACCAGGTGACAATCTCACAAACCAAGTAGGCAGATTTTTTTTTTATCAATGATGTGACGGATCGAATTGAACTTTTGCATATCATCACAAACTGAGATTGTTACGATGAGTCTAAAACAAGACTAATTATAACAGCAAAATAAACCCAAGCCATAATTATGAATTGTCCATGCTTATCTAACATCTAGAATATTTCATTCCTCGATTTTTCATCTTTCTCAACAAACAAGGTGGGCTAGCGACCAAGCAGAAACCTATTGGGTAGCTGGAAGTGTGGCTGGAAATCTATTTGTCATTTCTCTCTAGGCTAAAAACTACATCTTGATTCTGGAAGTGGAGCTAAGACACCTATTGGATCGAGTTGGGCTGAAAAAAGAATGTTCTATCTGAGACACCAATTGAAACACATACAGTTGCATATCTCTCTGAAGAAATTGCCTGCAGCCTCTTACATCTTCCAATTCTGCAAGCAAGCAAGGTAGCAGGCTAGCGGCCAAGCGGAAACCTTGAGTCCAGCTGCACTGACTGACATGATGATTTAAATAACATTGGAAGTGTAAATTAAATGATAAGTGACATGATGATATACCGCATATTGTCAACACATTTTTGTTTTGGCACTGAAGCAACAAGCATGGGCCTCAAACTTGGAAGAGTTTCGAGCGGCTGTAAAATAAACTAATGAGGCGAATCCCATATTCCCATCAGCTAGGCAATAAACACTTAATGAATGAGAGAGCACAATACCACAATTCGATTTAATCATCTTGTCAATGTTAACAAATTAGACCCGAGTTCCTACACTCCTGCGGCACGGGCTGCTCTCATACATCCGCACCAGGGCTATTTCGTCTTCCCAAAAAACAGAAAACATAGTTGAGCCTTCAAAAGCAAAAGCTTATATGCAGGGTATTGAGCATTATCGCTGATTAGAAAATAGTCCCTGTTCTAAACCAAGAGATTGAGTGCAAGTAGGTATTTATGATGTGAAGTAGGAAACTTTCCCTTCCTCCCAGATCATAGAAAAAAAATATTTCTACTTCACAGGATTTTATACATGAAGGAGCACAAAGAAATGTTTCAAATATTAACAAACAGAATGGACCTGTTTCAATGAGAAATTTACCTCGGTGGTGAGCGCGGGTGGAGCCTGGTTTGGGCACTGCGAGGGCAACCTTCTTGGATGATCATCCGCGACGGGCGGAGGTCAAGGGCAGAGCTACAGTGTGGCCATGGACGACAACAGTCAACAGGTCTGACGCAGGTGAAATAGACATTGTCCAGTACGGCGTTGCAGGCGATAGGATATTAGTGGCAAGCCCTTATCCGACAGCGCTGTGGAGATTGGTGTCCCGGAATTACCCAATCTACTTTATTGTCCCAGACATCTACGCATTTTGTACCAAACAAAAAAGAAAGATAGTAGGCATGCAGATCAGATAACCATTATTGTTACCTTTTCAAAGAACAAATAAGTAATGAACAAAAATCATCAATTTTTATCCCAATCCATTTTTCTGTCGCCCCACTGTGGGGAGAAACTCCCTGCCCGACAAACAAATGAAAAGAGGAAAAAGGGAAAGAGGAAGCGAGCAATTAGGGGGAAAACGAAAATGGATTTCCAGATTGAAACTAAAAAGCGGTCTTTTTGTTTGAAGCGATGGGACCAAAGTCCAATGTCCTCAATGCAACTTCGTCTGATAAACTGATCGTATGTTTGATCATGCAACTACATATTGAAAATTACTACTCCCTCCATCCCAAAATATAAGCATTTTTTGAGTCTCACTACGGTCTCCGTTATACTACTTTGACGAACAACATCTACGAAAGTAAAATGTTTTAAATAAAAAGAGTTGCATATTATGATAGTTCATTTAATGATAAATATAGTAAGATTAAATTTATATGATTAATCTTTTTATTTTTTTTTGCTATTAATAGTCAAAATTTAAAAGTTTGACTTGTCTCTATTCTAAAAATGCTTATATTTTGGGACGGAGGGAGTATGTATGTGCAGAGATAAAGAGGTATCAAACTACACATTGAGGACACAATTATTTGATGAACTGAGTGGAAGATTAGTTTCCTTCTCTCCATTCTTCTCACGTTGATTTCTGTTAATTTGATAATGGTGGTTTGTATTATCGGGTTCGGTGTGGGTGAACAATTTTTTAGCTACAAAAGAAGTACTTGAGCTCAACTTGGTGGGATGTTTGCGATAAGATTATCGTGGAAAGTTTGTTGGGATATGGACCTAGGGTAGTTGATTATGATGCAAAGTATTTATTTATTGCCATTTTGCATGTAGGGTAGCACACCTGCAGTTATGGATTTCCTTGGTACACTAAGAGTGAGATTCCATTTTATGAGTGAATTTGTTAGGTCAGGTAGAGAGAACAACTATTGTGGTGGAACGGAGGCAATTTCTTATATCAGTCGGGATAATGAGTGCCTTTCTGAGTTATTTGGAGCTTTGTGTGAGCACTGCAAGGTTAAGGAAGGAACCATGCTGCACTGGCTGTTCCCAGGCAAAGATTTAGCATCTGGTCTGCGTGCATTGTTGGATGATATGGTTTGTCAATACATATTAGATTGTACTGATGAACTTGGTGTGGCTGAAGTATATGCAGAGGAACCATTTTCATTGATGTCTCCGATGGAGATGGTGATAACAGTTATTATGATGCAGAGAAGGAAGATGCTAATGCTGATAGTTCAGAAGAAGAAGAGGCCAATGATGAGAATGAGGCAGAACATATGGGCATTGTGGTTGGGGATGTAGGTAGCTAATGCAACTGAATAAAGGATGGTTGTTTATGAGATGGATGCAGAACCCATTGCCAGTCGGGAGGATTCAGAAGGAGACATCATTTACATGCAGACGTTGATGATGTGCTCCACTAGTATCTCGCCGAGGATGACGAGGGTAGTGTGTAGTTGCAGCTTCGCTCTTTTCCCATTTGATTGTCCTTGTGAGATTATTGGCAGTGGCACTATGGGTTCCATCTTGTTTATGTGAATTTATGAGATTTCCGCTGCTATCTTTTGTATTGTATGATGGGTTTATGAGAACCCGATTAAATCATATGTACCCTGCATTTATGCATTTGTGATGTTTAACAATTGCAGTAAGAGATCTGCCAATACGATTCAAAGAGCTCTCGCGCTGCTCTCACGCGGGCAGCTCGGGAGCGAAACCCTAGCCGCCCCCTCCCAACGCCTCCAGCCGCCTCGCCGCTGCCGGAAACCTTGCAGCCGGCCGGGAAGGCGGCGGCGGGGAAAATGCACCAGCAGCGGAGCATCCCCTCGGCGTGGGAGGGGCGCGACGCACGCATGGCGGAAGGTGGCGGCCGGAGCAGCCGGCGGGGCGGATCCCATCGTGCCGGACGGGGATCCGGCCTCCCCAGTGGAGGATCTGGCCTCCGAGAGGCCAGATCGAGAGAGGGGCGGCGGCGGTGCGGCAAGACGGCGGGCGGCCTCGAGCTCGCGACGATGGCGGCGCGGCAAGATGGCAGGCGGCCTCGCGCTCGCGGCGGCGGCGCGGCTCGAGTGGCTTCGGCGGGAGCTCGAGGCAGCTAGTGGGTAGAGCGCCTGCGGCTGGCGGGCGGCAAAGGCGCTGCGCGCACGTAGGCACGGCCCGGTCGGCGGAGGTTGCTCGCAGAGGTGGCACCGCGGCAGACTCGCAGCGAAGGTGGTGACTGCGGGCAGCCGGCGGGAAGAGCAGCCCGGCCAGCACGCAGCGGAGGCTGACCGACCGGATCTAGAGGGTGGCCGGCTGGCGACGGCAGTTGGCGACGGCAGCGGCGGTCGTGCTCACGGTGGTGCTCGCGGTAGTTGCGGTGGCGTCGGCTGACCACGGCGGAGGACATGGTAGCGGCGTCGGGCTGGCTGCTTGGTGGCGGAGGGCGACGACACAGCGGTTTGCGGAGGAGGAGGCTGGCGTCGGTGGCAGCGGCGACGACATCGATGGCTGTAGAGGCGGTGGCAACGTCGGCGGATGGGGGTCGCTGGTGACATCAAGTGGAAGCGGGGAAGGAGTCGGGTGCGAGGTGAGGATGGCGACGGCGAGGTGGCTGGGCGTTCGGCAGCTGCGGCTGCAGTGGTGGTCACTGCGATTGAAATCACAGTCACTGGAGGCATGGCGGACTCGGATGGCTAGCCGAGGGCGTGGCAGACGGCTACATCTGGCGAGGGCGTGGCAGACGGCTACATCGTTTGGTGGAGGGGTCGGAGACCGGCTTGGCGCGGAGAGGCGCAGCCGATGGCAGCGGAGGCCGGCTCGGCGCGAGAGGTGAAAGTGCATTAATCCCCCTAGTGGGTTTTGGTGATTAATGACAAATGTGGTTAAGGGACTAATGAGTTCATTGAGTGACTTTCAGGTGCATTAGTCCAAGGTGTGGAAGATGGATGCTTGGAGACCCCCAAAAAGTACAAAATCAAAGCGGACCGGAACTCGAGAAGTGTATAGGATAGTTTATCTTTTGAAATCGAGCTTTTAGGAAAAACCGTACTATTAAGAGGGGTTCCATGTGATGCTCTGAGATATATCAAGTGCTCTTAGTGTGAACCAAGTGTCAAGTTTCCCTAGGAGTCTTTTTTGCAAATACTCCATCTGTCCAAAAATGCAAGTCCGGAACTTCCTGTCTTCCAGGTCCGGAAGTTCCGGTCTTGTGAAAAAGATTTTTCTAAGTGTAGTCCAGAAGTTCTGGTCTTCTAGGTCCGGAACTTCCTATCTAGTTTCTAGTTCAAATTTGTGAGTAACGGCTAAATGACGTCACCTAGCCGTTATACATATACAGCTCGTTTCCAGCTCGTTCCTTGTCTATTCCACTTTTCACTTTTCAAACCTAGAGCTATTGCTAGCCTCTCCCAAGTGTTTCTTGCCTTCTCCACTCAATCTAGAGCCTAATTCTTGTGAGAAAGAGAGATTGAGAGGGAGAGAAGAAGATTTGGAGATGTGTGAAGACTAGGATCTTGGGTGAGCACTTGGAATATCTCGTGGGCTGTCATCTCGGTGCTTATTACTCTTGGAGATGATCTCCTAGACGGTTAGGTGTCGCCCACGAGAATCCGTTGCATATTGTGGATGTCCCAGGTAAGTTTGTGAAGGATTTCCTCTCCTCCGAAAGGGAACGAAGTAAGTTAGTGAAGTTCTTGTGCTGAGATTCTAGAGGCTTTCCAAGTAGAGCAACCCACACTTGTGGTGGATTTCTAGAAGTAGATTGAGTTGGATCTTGGTGGTCACTCAATTCTAGAAATTTGCCTAGGGGTGTTTGGGGTTGAAGGCTGTGGATTTCCTCTGGGGTTTTTGCACAAGTGAGGCAAGGGGTTAATCGAGACCCAGCTCTTTGGAGCTTCTCAACGGAGAGTAGGATCGCAAGATCCGAACTTCGGGAAAAAATTGCTCTTGTCTCTTTCTGTGATGTTTCTGTGGATGATTCTGTGATATATCCTCTGCTTAGAATACCTGCGCACCATCTTGTGAAGATTGGCTTAGTCTCTTGTTTCGAATTTTGAATTTCATCTATATTCTGTTACCCGGAAGTTCCTGTGTTAAGAACACCGGAAGTTCCGGGCCTGGGAGGCCGGAAGTTCCGGAGTTCCTTACCAGGAAGTTCCGGATCTGTTTGAATTTTACCGTTGCGATTTGTTTTTATGTTTTCAGGGACAGCCTATTCATCCCCCCTCTAGGCGTCATCAGCGCGTTCAATTGGTATCAGAGCAAGGTGCTCTTGATTCAAGCTTCACCGCTTTGAGTGATCCACGATGTCGGACTTAGGGGGAAAGAACGGGGAAAATGGAAATGAAGATGGAGCGAGCAGCAAGGGAACTCCATCACCCAAGGGAGCTACTATACCTTTTGATTACAGCAAACTTACCATTCCCTCTCACAACTTTGTCTCCATGCCTTCCGGGCGTGCTCCTCAATTTGATGGGACACATTACGCCGCTTGGAAGCACAAGATGAAGTTGCATCTAATCTCTTTGCATCCATGTATTTGGAAAGTTGTTTGTACAGGTGTTGATGTACCCCATGATGACATGGAGCTCACTTCGGAGCAAGAGCAACTCATCCACCGCAATGCTCAAGCTTCCAATGCAATTCTCTCCGCCTTGAGTCCAGAGGAGTTCAACAAGGTTGATGGGCTTGAGGAGGCCAAGGAGATATGGGATACTTTGCAATTGGCTCATGAGGGTTCACCCGCTGTTCGTGAGGCCAAGATTGAATTATTGGAAGGAAGGCTTGGAAGATTTGTGATGGATGACAAGGAGATACCACAAGAGATGTATGATAGGATGATGATTCTTGTCAACAAGATCAAAGGACTTGGGAGTGAGGACATGACAAATCACTTTGTTGTCAAGAGACTTCTCCGTGCTTTTGGTCCAAGAAATCCCACTCTTGTATCAATGATAAGGGAAAGAAAAGACTTCAAGAGGCTCACCCCAAGCGACATTCTTGGAAGAATTGTGTCTCATGAGATGCAAGAAGAGGAAGCTCGTGAAGTGAGGCAAATGGTGAAGAATGCCGCCATGATCAAAAATCAAGAAGTTGTTTTGAAGGCAAAACAAGAAGAAGAGTCAAGTTGTGAAGAAAGTGAAGATGAAGAGATGGCTTTTATTGTCAAGAGATTCAAGCACTTTCTTCGCAAGAGTGGCTATGGCAAAGGGAGGAAGAATGATGACAAGGGAAAGCGGCAATCAAAGAGAGCTTGCTTCAATTGTGGTGAATATGGCCACTTCATTGCCGATTGTCCTAAGTCAAATGAAGCTAAGGCTAAGGGAGGCAAGAAGAAGCCGGAGCGTGCTCATGTGGCGGAGGCACACATGGCGGAGGTGTGGTACTCCGGAGATGAGGAAGATCCCGAGGTCAAGCCCAAGCCCAAGCCAAAAGACAAGGTTGAAGGAGAAGGTGGTGTTGCTACCGTCGCCTTGAAGTCATCTTCTTCAAGCAAGGAGCGTCTCTTCAACAACTTGAGTGATGACGACGATGACTCCTACCACTACTCTTGTTTCATGGCCCAAGGCCGCAAGGTGATGACTCAAAAGCCCTCTCACACCTCTCTTGATGTTGATTCTAGTGATGAGGAAAGTGATAATGAATTAGATGATGTGCTTAAGAGCTTTAGCAAACCCGCTATGCAACATTTGGCTAAGTTAATGAGAGCTTTGGATAGTAAAGAACAATCTCTCGAAAGACAAGAAGAATTACTTATTCTTGAGAAGAAAAGAAACCTTGCCTTAGAGGAGAGCCTAGCTAAAAAATGTGCTAAAAATGAACAACTAGCTAATGAGCTTAATTTGGCTAATGGTTCTCTAGCTAGCCTTAGGGATGTCAGTGAAACTCTTCAAGAGAAGTTTGCTAGTTTAGACAAAAGTCATAAAGATCTTGAAGTTCAATTTGACACTCTTTGGAATAGCACTTCTCAACCAAATGTGGTTTCTAATTCTTCCAACCCATCTACTAGCAATGGTTGTGCTAGGTGTTACAATATTGATTTGAACTCTCATGCTACTAATATTGATGCTATGCAAGCTCTTAAGAAAGAGAATGAAAGGTTAGGCACATTGGTGAAATATGGATGCATAAAGACATACCATTCAAAAGATGCCCTTTACAAGACCATCACCGCTCATCCTAACAAGGATGGACACGGGCTCGGGTTTTCTGGTGGAAGTCCTGTGTTTAAGCGTGTGATGGTAAATGGGAAAGAATGCTTGATGTTTGTAAGAGAAGGAAAAGCTCCACAAGCAAGTGAGATGACTTGTCCCCTCACTGGTCAGACACCCGGAAGTTCCGGGCAAAATGACCGGATGTTCCTGCCCTGTAAGACTGGAAGTTCCGGACATTTTGTCAGGAAGTTCCGGGCTTCTGATAGGCCGAAGGGGCTGACCGGAAGTTCCGGGTATAATGCTAGGAAGTTTCAGCCAGAGGGTCTTTACTATGATTCATATGTAATTTCCAAAAATTCAGAGGGCAAAGTGGTTGCTTATTTTAATGGGAATTACAATGATGAGTACCGCACTTGTGTGTGGGTGCCAAAGGCTTTGGTGACTAACATCAAGGGACCCAAACTTAGACAAGTTTGGTTTCCTAAATCCCAAGCTTGATCTCTTTTGTAGGCATACTCCTCCGGTGGCTCAAGTTGGGTTGTGGACAGTGGCTGCACCAATCATATGACGGGAGAGAGGAGTATGTTTACAAGTCTTGATGAGGAGGGTGGAAGTCGTGAAAATATTGTCTTTGGAGATGATGGTAAAGGAAAGGTAATGGGTCTCGGTAAGATTGCCATTTCCAAGAATCAATCTCTTTCTAATGTCCTCCTTGTCAATTCTTTAAGCTACAATTTATTATCCGTGTCTCAATTGTGTAAGTTAGGATTTAATTGCTTGTTTACCGATGTGGATGTGACCGTTTTTAGGCGAGATGACTCTTCCATAGCATTCAAGGGTGTGTTAAAGGGTGATCTCTATCTCGTTGATTTCGACGTAGATAGAGTGAATCCGGAGGCATGCTTGATTGCTAAATCCTCTATGGGTTGGCTATGGCACCGTAGGCTAGCCCATGTTGGAATGAGGAATTTGGCATCTCTTCTAAAAGGGGAACACATTCTTGGTCTATCTAATGTTTCTTTTGAGAAAGATCGTGTGTGTAGTGCTTGCCAAGCTGGGAAGCAAGTTGGGAGTCCACATCCTATAAAAAACATCATGACTACAACAAGACCACTCGAGCTTCTTCATATGGATTTATTTGGGCCCGTGGCCTACATAAGCATTGGAGGTAACAAGTATGGTTTCGTCATTGTTGATGATTTTTCACGTTTCACTTGGGTGTACTTTCTCCATGACAAAAGCGAAGCTCAAGATGTCTTCAAGCGCTTCGCAAAGCAAGCCCAAAACCTCTATGATCTCACTATCAAGAGGGTGCGAAGCGACAATGGAGGAGAATTCAAGAACACTTAAGTGGAGGAATTTCTTGAGGAAGAAGGAATCAAGCACGAGTTCTCCGCCCCCTATGATCCTCCCCAAAACGGCATTGTTGAGAGGAAGAACCAAACCCTCATTGAAGCCGCAAGGGCAATGCTTGATGAGTACAAGACTTCGGATGTATTTTGGGCGGAGGCCGTGAGTACCGCATGTCATGCCATCAATCACTTGTACCTCCACAAGATCCTAAAGAAAACCTCATATGAGCTCTTGAGTGGTAAGAAGCCTAATGTTTCATATTTTCTTGTCTTTGGGAGCAAATGTTTTATTTTAAGTAAGAGGCCTCGCTCATCTAAGTTCTCACCTAAGATGGATGAGGGATTCTTATTTGGCTATGAATCAAATGCACATGCCTATCGTGTCTTCAACAAAACCTCCGGTATTGTTGAAGTCACTAGGGATGTGACATTTGATGAATCTAATGGCTCCCAAGGAGAGCAAGTTGTTGTACATGTTGTAGGGGATGTGGATCCAAGTCAAGCTATAGGTACTAAGGCTATTAGAGACATACGACCAGTCGAGACGCAGGATGACCAAGAAGATAGGGATCAACCTCCGTCATCGACATCCAATAGCCCTACAAGTGCTGTGTCTGTTGAGCCGGAAGTTCTGGGTCCTATTGACCGGAACCTCTGGACATCTCCAGGCCCGGAAGTTCCGGGTTCTATAGTCCGGAATCTCCGGACCAGTGGCAGTGAAGATGCACAAGTGAATGGGCACTACGCCAGATCCTCACACCTCTGACGGGATACCTGTGACGGGCAAACAATCACCGTCACTAGTGGCCATTACCTTTGACGGGTTATACGGGATGCCGTCACCGGTGAGGCATCCGGCCGCGGCCCGTCACAGGTATCTCCTCACCTGTGACGGGCCGAAAGGAAAACCCGTCACAGGTATACCAGTGACGAGTTTTGCTTCCAACCCATCACTGGTATCCCCTCACCTGTGACGGGCCGAGACATTACAAGCCGTCACAGGTGATGGGCCGCCACCTGTGACGGCTTTCATTTCTGGCCCGTCACAGGTGAGAGGATACCAGTGACGGGCCACTGAATTGAAGCCTGTCAAAGGTATGACCAATACCTTTGACGGGCCTTTTTTATCTAACCCGTTTGAGGTGTGTTGGGTCTATAAATACCCCCTAAACCGCCAACTGCTTTCCATCCCGACCATTTTACTGTTCACAAATCGGTTGGGAGGGCAAGGGGGGCGATTTTTTGCTAAAATTCAAGGTAAAAAACACATTATTCTCCATTCGTTCTCAATATATCGATCATCATATATTTTTCTTCGTATGTTGTTGATTTCAGATGGATCGTAGATGGATGTACTATGCGCATCGTTCGTCTACCGAGTATAAAGAGGGGGTCACTGAATTTGTCACATTTGCGGATAATGACAGAAAAAGTAGGATGAGCATGCACATGTTGTGTCCATGTAGGGACTGTAAGAATGACCAGATGATCGAAGACAAGGATGAAGTGCATGTTCATTTGATAATGAATGGATTCATGAAGAAATATACCTGCTGGACCAAGCATGGAGAGCAAGAGGTGCCTGATGTCGCAGCTGAAGAAGTGTTGGATCAGGATGTAGAGAACACCGCCGCAGCTCGAGATGGCATGTTCGTACCTTCTCCTTTAGGTGGAGAGACCATAGATTTGGACACTCAATGTCTATTACAATGTTGCATGACATTGAAGACGCAGAGGACAACGACAGAGATTTTGAGAAGTTTAGTAAGTTGGTGGAAGATTGTCAGATGTCGTTGTATGATGGATGCAAGTCGAAGCACAGCAAGTTGTCATGCGTGTTGGAACTCATGAAGCTTAAGGCTAGTAATGGCTGGTCGGACAAGAGTTTTACAGAACTTCTTGAGCTGTTAAAGGATCTGTTGCCAGAGGGGAACAATTTACCGCAGACGACATATGAAGCGAAGCAAGTATTATGTCCGTTGGGCCTGGAGGTCAGAAGAATTCATGCATGTCCGAACGACTGCATTTTGTATTACAAGGAATACGCTGACTTGGATGTCTGCCCTATCTATGGGGCATCAAGATACAAACGAGCAAAGAGTGAAGGTGAAGGAAGTAAGTCAAAGAGGGGAGGCCCAGCAAAGGTGGTGTGGTATCTCCCAATTGCGGAGCGCATGAAGAGAATGTTTGCGAATAAGGAACAAGCTAAGCTTGTGCGCTGGCATGCCGAAGAACGGAAAGTCGATAGTATGCTGACGCACCCAGCAGATTTAGTACAGTGGAGGACAATCGATAGGATTTACCAGGAATTCTCAAATGACCCAAGAAACATGCGTTTCGCAATGTGTACGGACGGCATTAATCCTTTTGGTGATTTGAGCAGTCGTCACAGTACATGGCCAGTTCTGCTTGTTAACTATAACCTTCCTCCCTGGTTGTGTTTCAAAAGAAAGTATATTATGCTTGCCATGCTCATTCAAGGACCGAGACAACCTGGCAACGATATCGATGTGTTCCTTGAACCGATAATCGATGACTTCGAAAGGCTATGGAATGAGGGTACACGAACATGGGACGCATATGCACAAGAGTATTTCAACCTCCATGCGATGCTGTTTTGTACCATCAACGATTATCCGGCCCTTGGCAACCTTTCTGGCCAAACTGTGAAAGGGAAATGGGCATGTTCGGAGTGTATGGAGGAAACAAGAAGCAAATGGTTGAAGCATTCACACAAGACGGTCTACATGGGTCACAGAAGATTTCTCCCAAGGTATCACCCATATAGGAATATGATAAAGAATTTCAATGGACACAGAGATACAGCCGGACCACCGGCAGAGCTAACAGGGACAGAGGTGCACAACTTAGTGATGGGAATAACCAACGAGTTTGGAAAAAAGAGGAAAGTTGGAAAGCGAAAAGAGAAGAGCACATCGAAGGAAAAAACAGAGGAGCATGTGGAAAAACAAAAGATAAAAGAGAGGAGCATGTGGAAAAAGAAGTCAATATTTTGGAGACTACCATACTGGAAGGATCTTGAAGTTCGCCACTGCATAGATTTGATGCATGTCGAGAAGAATGTATGCGAGAGTTTAATGGGATTACTGCTTAACCCAGGTACTACAAAGGATGGTCTCAACGCCCGACGAGATCTGGAAGATATGGGGGTTCGCTCGGAGCTACATCCCATAACCACGGAATCCGGCAGGGTTTACCTTCCTCCAGCCTGCTACACTCTCTCGAAAGAAGAGAAGATTGATTTGCTAACATGTTTGAGTGGTATAAAGGTTCCATCTGGTTACTCATCAAGAATTAGTAGGCTCGTTTCACTGCAAGATCTTAAGTTGGTAGGAATGAAGTCGCATGATTGCCACGTTCTTATCACACAGCTGTTGCCCGTTGCAATAAGGAATATTTTGCCTCCTAAGGTGCGACACACGATCCAGCGGTTGTGTTCCTTCTTCCATGCAATCGGCCAGAAGATCATTGATCCCGAGGGACTAGATGAACTACAGACAGAACTTGTGAGAACCCTATGTCATCTTGAGATGTACTTTCCTCCAACTTTCTTTGACATAATGGAACATCTTCCGGTGCACCTTGTGAGGCAAACAAAGTGCTGTGGTCCAGCATTTATGACGCAGATGTATCCTTGCGAAAGGTACCTGGGGATCTTTAAGGGTTATGTACGGAACCGTTCACACCCTGAGGGGAGTATCATCGAGAGTTACACCACCGAAGAGGTCATCGATTTTTGTGTGGACTACATGTCAGAAACATCTTCAATTGGATTACCACGATCTCATCACGAAGGGAGGCTTGATGGTGTTGGTACTGTTGGAAGAAAGACTATTAGGTTGGATCGGAAGGTGTACGATAAAGCTCATTTCACGGTACTACAGCATATGACTGAGGTGGTGCCGTACGTTGACGAACACCTTGCAGTTATCCGACAAGAGAACCCAGGCCGATCAAAGAGTTGGGTCAGGAATAAGCACATGTCTTCTTTCAACGAGTGGCTGAAGAACCGAATTGCCAGGTTGCAGAACTTGTCTAGTGAAACACTTCAGTGGTTGTCACAGGGTCCTGAATGGAGTGCCACCACCTGGCAAGGATATGACATAAATGGATACACCTTTCACACGGTAAAGCAAGACAGCAAATGCACAGTGCAGAACAGTGGGTTACGCATCGAAGCTGCTAGTGACGGTGGTCGTCGTGATCAATACTACGGTAGAGTTGAGAAAATATTGGAGCTAGATTACTTGAAGTTCAAAGTCCCGTTGTTTCGTTGTTGATGGGTCGATCTTCGCAATGTAAATGTTGACAATGAAGGTTTCACCACTGTCAACTTGGCTAACAACGCGTACAAGGATGAACCGTTCATTCTCGCCAAACAAGTTGTTCAAGTGTTCAACATAGTTGACCCGTGTAACAAGAAACTACATGTTGTTCGTGAAGGGAAAAGGAGAATTGTTGGATTGGAAAATATTGTAGACGAGGATGATTACAACCAGCACGTCCACGGCATAGGTCAAGAAATACCTCTAGAAGAGGAGGAAGAAGAAGATGAAGTTCAATATGCATGTGTCGACCATGAGGAAGGATTATTTTTGTAATTTATGTACGTAGTTTATGTGTACATGTCTGTTATCTGTATGACTCTAATATGTTCGCAATGATCAATAGTATATTGCTTATGAAATAGTCAAATAAAATAATTAAGTGAAGCACCCACTAGAAGTGAAATAAAATAATTAAGCAAGTATAACCATTGGAAATAAAATAATAAAATTAGTATATTAATGAAGTGCAATTACTACTGTTAGTGAAATAAAATAATTAAGTATAACAAAAATATACAGTGTATGTGGAAATATGTTAAGGAAAATAAAAGAACTAAGTGAAATAAAATAAAATAAAATTGCTGTAGGCAAACTCACCTGTGACGGGCTCTATCTGTGGGGCCATCACAAGTGACCTCACCTGTGATGG